GTGCGGCGTACCTGGCGCTGAGCACGGCTGAGCGTGAGCAGCTGGACGTGACTGCGCTTGGCGGTGTGCCGCTGCGGGGTGTGCCTGTGCCTGTGGAGATGTACCAGCTGAACGCTGTGCCCGGGCGCACCTTCGCGGCTCTTCGGGTTGGTGTGGAGCATGGTATGGAGGATATCCTTGAGGACAATTTTGATGTGTACAGTGAATTCTCGCGTGGCACTCGTTTGTCCCCGGATGAGATGATTATCTCTGTGTTGGATGGTATTTTCAGTCCTTTTAGTCCATGCCAGCGTGCTGATGCTCTTGTCGCACTGTCTAGACGATGGGGTTTGCGTGTGCCTGGAAGGGGTGATAAGTCGTATGAGGATTACTGTTCCAGTATTATAAAATGCCTGTCTTTGCGTGTGAGCCCTGTCGTCGCCAGGAGATCGGGTGCACCAATGGAGGGTTCAAGTCGTGTTATGGCGTCTTCTGCGTCTGTCCGTTTCTCTTGTGATGCCTCACCGAGGAGGTTGTCTGCTCGTTCTTTATTGTCACAGGGTGTTGGCTCATTAAATTATGATCTGCCTCCCACGGTAGTGGCGTCATCACGTGTGAACACATCAGCAGTGCCTCTGCCCGAGCAGTTAGGTGGGTCTTGCGAAGGTAGTTCAGATGTGCACCTTTCCTCGCTGTAATGGACCTTTGTTTTTCTCACATTCTTCAGCTGCATTGATGTTTCATACTTTTTTGCGTTTTCTTACGTTTCATGGGCGTCCCTTTGCTTTTACTTGTTCTCTGTTCTGCTATTCACATTGACTGCGTGTCTCGCTGTTGCAGTTGGAACAAGAGTTTCCTCAAATGCGTTGGGAGTCTTCTTTATGTGCTCGCGAAGTGAACTCTATGCGCCATGCTTTTTGTTTTTGATTCATTGCTCATATACGTCTGTGCCCCGTTTTTCCCGCTTGCGATGGCCACGCACTCTAACTTGCTAGACGACGAGAGCGTTTTGGCTGATAGCCCAATAATGTTTGCCTTTTGCATATGTGTGGTCCTGCCGCCTTGCAGCAGCGGACACTGCGTCGAGGCGCAGCGCTCTTGACGGTACGCGCACCGCCCTTTGTTCGAACAGAACTATAAACTTCTACGACACTATTCAGGTACGTTTCTTTTACATCTGCATCTATTCTATCCGCTTATCTTTTTTTCTGCTGTTTTTTGCTTGCCGCTCAGTCTCTTTGCTGGTACACAGGAGCTTGGGATTACGAGCCACAAGGGCCGCTTGCGACAGTCGCATGCGTGGGACGTCTGTGCGTGACGTCTTACTCTTGTAATGACGCTGCCCCGCCCCAGTGAAACGTGCAGCGACACCGTGGGTATATTCCTCTTCCGATACTTCGTTTCTTCGTGACATCCAATAGTAGTGCCACTGCGCGCCTCCCCCTCGGTTTCTCCTTTTTTTCTTCTTCTTTTCCTGACACTACGGCAATACAGAAAGGCGCATTTAGGTC